AATCAATTAACAAACGGAGACGTAACAATATAGACAACAATTGAGTCAAGCGCGGTAGGAAGTAAAGTACGGGAATCGTCCGTTGTAAATTATAGCGTGTGTTTAAGTTAAGGTGACTGTGGAAATTAAGTGTATTGCAAAGTTGAATTGACAAAGAATAAACTAGTTTTATTTGAGAAAGGACTTGTATCGCTGAAGTTATTCGGAAAGAATTTTTACGAGTAATTAACAAACGACCAGAGACATAACAGTATAAACAACTTTGAAAAAGAAATCCCTCAAATGATTGGTGTGATCTGAACCAGTTATGACTATAAATAGTATTTTTGTTTTAAAAAAACCAGTAATGATTGAAATTACATAGACTGTTTGTATGACCCATGTAATTAGAGGAAACTGGAGAAATCCTATCAATACCCCTAGTGGCTATCCACACTGACTGATCTATATTTAGCCAGCATTGGAGCTATGAAATATGTGCAATTTGAAAGAAAAATAACTTTTTGACACTTCTTTCTAACGATAATAGGATTAGCAATCTGGGAGTTGTAATAACTAACTTCAATATTTCTTAATTTTGCTTTCTATATATACAATGTGTGTCTGTACAGAACTGGGATTTTTGCAAGTCATTTCAGAATACAGGTTGGTTAGGCCTTGACATTTTATCTTAGAGAAAGTCTCCTATCACAAGTGAATCTTATCTAACTGTTTAAAGTTCACTGTAATATGTAGTAGCTGGTGGGTGGGATATTGAGATTGTCATGTGAAGTGTATGTTTAATACAATTGGTTTACCTCCTTTATACATGTAGTATGCACTTACCAAAATTCGCTAAAAAATAGGTCAATATCTACTTTGAACATGTGACCTGTGAGTTCGCTCTTTATATTTTCTAAAGACTGAGTTCAGTATTTGTGTTCTCCTCAAGACTGTTCTCTCAGCTGTCTACAATGGTAACCTTACAAATTCCCTCAGAGTATGGCTATGTTATTCTTGTGTCAGTTATATCAGTTTTTGTTAACATATGGATGGCAATGAAGGTTGGCAGTGCTAGAAAAAAGTATGGAATTAAGGTAGTATTGTTTGTTTCTAATATTAGTATAAAGATCTCTACAGTATGCTCAACGTCAACTTAAATTCCTTTGAAATCAATTAACAAGCTGGTATCAGTCTGTCTGCTGCATGAAGTTTCTATTTAAGTCCAATTAAATTTTAAGTTTGATAGAGCAATATGAATATTCTGGATTATGTGTGTCAAGAAATATATTAAAGAAATACTTAGAGTGATATTTAAAGTAAAAATTGATAAAAAATATTGCATAAAAAATGTTACATTCTAATTTAGAACTTGATTCTGGAAATTTGATAAGCTTAATGTAAACATTCAAGAACAAATAATATTTATTAATATGCATGAAACATAAATTATTAGCATAAAACATAAATTACTAGCATAAAACAATATTAAATCTTTATACACATGACTTAACATCATCAAAACGTTAAAAAGTAAACTGTGTCACTTTTGGAAGATATAAGAATATTATAATAGGCTGAGTATTAGAAGGCCATTTAATTTATCGAGGTTACCCGTGTACTGTATATACTGAAACAAACAACCACCTGTTGCATCAGTGAGATAACGTTAACTTCAACAATACTTCTGACTGCAGTTTAATTACTCACTACCTACACACACATCGTTATCCCGTCACGTTGTCACCTTCTTTTATATACCAACCTACCCTATATCTAGTAAATGCTAGAGCATTCGCCAAGGTACAGGATAGTTCTAGAAAGCAGAGGGCGTGAGAATAGTCACGTGCTCTCGCTGACGCAACAGGAGCTAGTCATCACCAAATCTTGGGCTATTCTTTTAGCAGCTGTGACGGATTTACTATTATATATTTATCTTAATATCGATGTTTGTTTAAATTAAATTTATATTTAGAAATATACATAACTTATACTGTTAAATATGTATTA